TTAATTTACCGAATATTGTTGTAGCCCGATGTTGCTGCTCCTGGTGTAAATATACTCGCAACATTTATTCCTCGCTCTGGAGACAATGGATTCAAACTTCAGTCAGGAACATCTATGGCAACCCCTCACGTCTCAGGAATTGTTGCACTCCTCAAAGTTGCACATCCTAATTGGTCTCCTGCAACAATCAAATCCGCACTTGTGACTACTTGTAATATCTTATGCATTTAAGTAGATAATATTTTTATACTATATATGCAGTTCAACTTGTTATAATTATAAGTTTATCATTTTAAACTATCTAGTATGAAGAGTTAACCATTGTTAAAAAAACTTATAACCTAAACTCATATCTTATATTGTTTCATTGAGAAAATAGGGTAACATAGATGCGTTATTTTTGCACTGTCAGTGTATTTAACCTATTTACAACATGTTGTTTACTAAGTTTTCTAGGTTAGCAAATTAAGCTTATTATAAATAATTATCTATTATTATAGATTACTTTAAATCTGACAATGCAAAAACAAATTTATACCGTCTGCATACATAAGTTAAACTTGAAATACATAGTCTTTCCTTCTTTTAAACATCTTTTCATATGGTTTTAAATTACATACCCTAATGGTGTAAAAAAAAAAAATTCAATATCTATTCATCGAAATCTCAATCTTATGCTAAGATAACTTTTATTTTGACTATGATACTACATTTCTGTAAACAAATTAAAGTAATTCTACTTTGGAACATTTGGCATAAACATATTATAATAAGACTGATAAAAACGGTATATAGTTCAACTAGCTTTTTTATCTTTTGGCTACGTCAGATCTAATAACAAATATTTTAACTGTACGTGTAGCATGGAACGAGGACACATATACATCTGAAATCTTTTTAGAAGGAACAGGAGACAAACTAGCTGATCCATTTGATTTCGGAGGTGGAATTTGTAATCCAAATGGAGCAACAGATCCTGGCTTAGTCTATGACATGGATAAAGATGATTATTTGAATTATCTTTGTAGCTTAGGTTATAGTAATGATATGGTTTATAATGCAACTACATATTTATCCTCTAGCAAAAATTCAACAGCAGCAGGAGGCATTGTATGTCCGAAAAAAGTCCCTTCTAGGTTGGATTTGAATCTCCCTTCAATATCTATTCCAAATCTCAAGAACTCAGTTTCTGTCAAGAGAACTGTTACCAATGTTGGAAATGTCAACTCTATATACAAAGTATTGGTTAAACCTCCGAGAAATACTGCTATTAAAGTAAGTCCACATGTCTTGAAGTTTAACGCCAAGGCAAAGAAGATTTCTTTTGAGGTCAAAATCACATCTACTCACCAAAGTAGTACTAAATTTACCTTTGGAAGTTTGGCGTGGAGTGATGGCAAGCATTTTGTTAGAATTCCTAAGCAAATAGATGTGTAAATTAAAGAAAAAAGATTTTGCTTTAGAAGTGCGGCATGGAGTGATGACACGCAATTTGTTAGGAGAAAAAGGTGTATAGTGCGCTTGTTGCTCAAACCCCCTCCCTCTTAGTTCGTTTTCTTCATGTTTTTCTTTTCCTTTTTTTTCGGTTGATGTAATTAGATAGAGAAGTGAAGAATCAACAAGTAAGAACGACTTCAACATTTCTGAAATATCGAAGATTATTTGTGCTGTTTTGTAGTTTATGATTCTGTATTGTTCCTGCCGCCTGCAAGTCGATACTCTAGACAATATTCCATATGGGTAGAAGACTTGGAAATATTTCTCATTTTTACGCAGTTCCAAGTTCATCTAATCTGAAACCATATTTAAGTCATAATAAACCTATTTAAAGATATTATATATTTCTCCAATTTCTAGTGACAAACTACAAACTGTTAATGAAATTGCTGGCAGGGATAAAGAACAAGAGCCTATATTAATCACTGTCATAAAAGTTGAAAAGCCTAAAAACTATATATATGCTATCTTTGAGAAAGAAATTAGAGGTGTAAAGAAAAAAGTACCCAGTTTAGCTTTAGAAGCGTAGCATGTGTTATGTGTTGATACCCAATTTTGTCCTCATTATTTTAAATATGAATATATATCTTTAAAATCGTGCACATACATTATTATTAGACTTTCAATGCATGCACACGTGTTTTTATAATTTTTCTACAATTTTAAAGGCTTTAAATCCATCTATTTCTGTATTTTCTATTTTGTAAATATCCACTAATTACCTCTCATATTATTTTTATGATGATTTAATCATCTAAATTCATCATTTATGCCAATATAGTGCTTAAATAATTTAATTGCATTTTTATAATTACATTTGCATTTTCAGGCTAGAATTGCACATTATGTAATAACAGCCTATATATATGCATAATTACATTATCTATACAGAAAATAGCACTTTATATTTTTATAATGTTAAGTAATTATTTTAAATCTTTTTCAGGTATAAATGATATTTTGGTATTTATTAATTATTTTTATAAATTATTTTACTGATTTAATTGGGTATTTAAAATCTAAACCATTTCTAATTAATTTTTGGACCTAGCCCAATTGTATATACCAGCCCAAAATCCAATTACCTCTACCCAATTAAACCATCAAACCCGAAAACCCCTTAAATTAGGACCGTTAATCTTAGAGATCAACAGTCCACATCACCCCAGCCCTTTTAATTAACCTAACCCGTCTAAACCCTAATCACTTCTCACCAAACGTCACCCTTGAACTCTTTCAATCTCCCCTCTTTCACTCTCAAACCCTAAGCGTCGTCACCCCAAATCCCCACCAAATCCCCTTTGATTCCAACAAGATATGGAATCATCTAGTGATTTCTTACCTTATTTGACCTTGTTTCTCTACTGACCACTTGATTACAGTATTATTTAGTAGCTTGCCCGACATGGCAAGCTAATCTCCCTATTTTCGGACCAAATCGGGTTCGAATCTTTATCTCTTTCAATCTATGTTCTTTCTCCGTCTCCTTGTGGTTTGAATCTCTGAGATTTTGCTCATTCCTTATTTTACCCTAAAGCTAGGGTTTACATCCTTTGAAATTTGCTGAGATTCGGTACTTATTTTTTGTTAAAAATCATATCAATGTTTCTGCATGACTATCTGTGAATCTTTTCATGATTTCGTTAAAAGGGTTTTCCACCTAATTTTACTCCCCTAAATTTAGGGCCTAGATCTTTTCAGATCTGTTAAGGTTCCTTAATTTTGAGTATTTTCTCCTTAATATTTTTGTTTATCTACGTGAATCTATGTTATTCCTATAGTTGTTTTGATTAATTTACTCACCCTAAAATTAGGGTTTCAGACCTTCTCTAGTTCGATTCTTTGTGCTTTTCGAATAAATCTCTTGTATATGTTCATTGTACACATTGTGTGATTATTTCGCCCTTGTTTCTTTGCTAACTTTATGGTTTATCCAAAATTAGGGGTTTGAAATCCTTTACTGAGATTTTAATCCTTCCTTTCTTGTACGATACTGATATTTCCTTGACAGATTTTTACCTATTCTTTCCTTATGTGTGATTCATAATTGGTACTACTTTCCTTAATTCTTTTGCTAGCCTGATTTCTTGTAACGCCCCGGCCAGTTGTCTAATGAGTTACTACTCCGTTTCCCCATTTATGCTACTTATTGCTTTGCTTATCGGTTCTGTATGTTATCGGGTTGGTTGGCTCGGGTTCGGAAAGGATTTGGTAAGGTTTGAGACACTTAGTCTCTTTTAAAGAAGCATAAGCTGGAAAAGTTAACCGGATGTTGACTTATGTGTTAGAGGGCTCGGATGTGAGTTTTGATGATTTGGATAGCTTTGGGAGGTGATTTGGCACTTAGTAGCATGATCAGAATGTGTTTTAGAGGTCCGAAGTAGATTTAGGCTTGAATTGGCGAAGTTGGATTTTTTGGCATTTTGCGATTGATATGTGGGATTTTGATATAGGGGTGGGAATGGAATTCCGGGAGTTGTATAGTTTTTTCGTGTCATTTGGGATGTGTGTGCAAATTTTCAGGTCATTCGGACGTGGTTTGGTTGGGTTTTTGATCAAAAGCGTAATTTCGAAGATTTTGGGATTCTTAGGCTTGAATCCGATGCAAATTTGGTGTTTTGATATTATTTTGAGAGTTTCGAAGGTTGAAACAAGTTTGAATGATGTTATGGGATATATTGTCATGTTTGGTTGAGGTTCCGGGAGCCTCGGGTGAGTTTCGGGTGGTCAATCAGATCATTTCTAGATGTTGAGAGTTGCAAAAAATTGTTGATCAGTGTTGCAGAGGAATGGCCTTCGCGTTCGCGAGTTGGTCCTCGCGTTTGCAAAGGGTTAGTTGAGGAGGCTGAGATTTTAGCCTTCGCGTTCGCGTGGAAGGCTCCGCATTCGCGAAGGGCTGGCTGATTATGCATCGCGTTCGCGAGAAGGGGAGCGCGTTCGCGTAGAGGAAGTTGGGCAGCTGGGTTTCAGGGTACTTTGTTCATCGCGTTCGCGAGAGAGGGCGCGCGTTCGTGAAGGGTTAGGATGAGGAACCATCACGTTAGCGAGGGTCAGGTCGCGTTCGCGTAAGAGGATTTTTGGTCAAAGTTAATTTGTGCTTCGCGAACGCGAGGCGTTGACCGCGTTCACGAAGAAGGAATTGAGGTCAGGGTAGAATGTTTAAATAGTCATCTTGTCTGCGATTTTGGAGTTTATTTCCACCATTTTTAGCGATTTTGTAGCTTTTTGAAGAGGATTGAAGAGGGATTCAACGAGAAACACTTAGAGGAAAGATTCATGGACTTAATATTCGATTCTATTGTGAATTCTACCGAACTAATCATGGAAATTAAGCCTAAAATTTAAGAACTAGGGCTTATAATTGGAGACCTAGAATTTGGGATTTGAGGGATCATTTGTGGTTGGATTTTGATGCTTTTGGTATGAATGAACCGGGGGAGTGATAAGGAGTTTATTGATGTAATTTTTGTCGGACTCCGAGACATGGGCCCGAGGGTCGAGTTTTGCCAGTTTCGGATTTGTGTTGTAATTTGATTTCTTTCGAGTGGCCTTTGTTCCCTTAGTATATTTTGATGGTTTTGCTCTAATTTTGGTTAGGTTTTGGAGCATCCGGAGTTCGATTCGAGGGGCAAAGGCATCCCGAGCTAGAGATTTGGACCAGGTAGAGGTGAGTAATGATTGTAAATATTGTCCTGAGGGTATGAAACCCCTGATTGCACATTATTGTGCTATATTGAGGTGATACATATGCTAGATGACGAGTGTGGGGTCATGCACTATTGGAGATCGTGACTTAGTCCATCCCGAATGACTATTTTACCGTGTATTTGACTAAAAACTATTTGCTATCATCATGTTTTGGGCTGAATGCTATATTTGGGGCTTTGCCAACTATTTGAACCATTAGGGGATTTTTACTGATATTTCCTCACTGTTGACTTTATATTTGTACTCAGTCATGCTATATTCTACTGTTTTCATAACTCATCCATGCCTACTCTGCTTTAACACTTAAAATGCTATTTTAAATGATATTTTTGGTTGCGCATCATATTTTACTATTGACCGAGTGGCTTGTGAGAATTTTGACTGAGTAAGGCTGAGGGCCTATGTTGTGAGGAAGCACCTGATTATCGTTATGAAGCCGAGGTCCGGAGATTTGTACGCCACAAGGTGGCTTGTTGATATGAGACCGAAAGCCTAGTGATTATGCTACGAGATGGCTTGATATTGCGCTTGGGACGTAAGGGGCCCCTCCAAGAGTTTGGACACCCCCAGTGAGCGCTGGTACCCATTGTGTTATGAGATAGAGCCCGAGGGGCTGGTATTGTTCCATATGTTGCTCGAGGGGCTGATTCTGTTAGTATTGTGCCCGAGGGGCGGTTCTTTATGTGTTTACCTTTTTAGTTGCCTGTCTTTTACTTGCTTAATTGTTTAAAAATGCATTTTAAGAAGCTTAGACTGAACTAAAGTGATTTGCATATTTTCATTGTTTCGTTACTTTTACTGGCTTGTAATGCTTCCTTATAGCATGTTATGTGCCTTACGTGATTTCTTACTTCTCAGTCTTCATTTATTATTATTACTTACTGAGTTGGAGTACTCACTTTACCCCTTGTACCCCGTGTGCAGATTCAGGCACATCAGGTCCTACTCGTGAGGGTTGAGAGCTGTCCAGCAGATTCCGGAGATACACTAGGTAGCTTCCCGGCGATTCGCAGCCCAATGCTTCTCCCTCTATCTTATTTCTTTCTGTATCAGCTCTGAAATAGTTTAGTAGACTCTGTCAGACTTGTAGTAGTATTATAGATGCTCATGACTGGTGACGCCCTGATGTCGGGCTGTGTTAGTTTTAATTCTGCAAATTGTATTGTTCACTGCTTATTTTGGGATTTTATCATGTTTAAGACTTAATACTTATTATTTTAATTGCTTAAAAA